TTTAAAGCAAGGTTGAGGTTGGTTTTTTTTTCTTACCAGAGAGCAGGGAATTTCAGGCTGGTTTTGTGTGCTGGGAGAGGAAGAAGCTGGATTTCTCTTTTGTGGGAAGAAGCCATAGGGCCAAAACTTGCTTGCATATTTTGGGATGTGTGTGTGTGTTTATAAACAATGAGGGAGTTACGTAAAACGGTAAATGGTCGCTGAAACTACAGGCTGCCTTCAAAAACGCTCATTTATAGCTGGCTGCACCCAGCTGCTGCAGTAGCAAAGAAGCACATTGTAGAACAATATCAGTGAATCTGAGGTTTCTCTGCTTCTCCTCAGTCTTCTGTTCATTAGGATCAGTCTGAACGTGTCTGTAACACTTTGAAGGCAGCTCCTTGTCTTCTCAGAACGGGACCAGACCCCCCAAAGCTCCTCCTGCTGGGATCCCAGAGCTCAGCTGCGATCTCTGTCCTCAAAGTGACGCTTCCCCACCGCACCCCAGTTCTCTGCTCTGTAAACTGTGGCTTTTATCCTGTACCAGGCACAGCTTCTCCCTCAGCCCTCTCAGATTTCACGTCGAGATCATTATTTAAATGAACAAGTAATATTCATTATCCATTTCTGAAGAATTTCCACCTGATGGTTCTGGTTTCTTACTCCTAAAGCTAACGGCATTTTTCCCCTAAACAATACAGCTGTACGCTTAAGCTCTGAAATCACCTTTTCCTCCCACCTAACGGTTTCCATAATTGTGCTATTTCAATGTCTCAACAAAGACAGGAGATCTATTGCCTTCTCTTCTTCTGTTGGATCTCCTTCCTGTAAAAAAACCTCTTTATCAAATAAAAATGTCCCATTAGTCTCTTGCACTTTGTATTGCCTTCCTTCAACTTTCAAAGTTGTTTTAAAGCCTTCAATTCTATTGTGGCAGAGTGGTTAGCCTAAAATCCACCCAATCCCCTCTCCGTGTCTCCTTAAATGCAGATAATACATTTATAATTCCCCAGTCCCAGAGCATCACTTTCAGTGTGTTTGAAAGAAACCCCGATGCTCTGGGACTGGCAATTTCCTGCTCTCAAACGTGAGTGTGTCAAGGTTTTTCCCTGCCCTTCGCTCCACCAGCTGCTGGATGTCCAATGTGCTGGATGCCACCTTCTCCATGGAAAACCGGAGAAGAGCGCTCAGTTAGTTTTTGAGCCACAGGTAAATATCCTTAACCCCACTGCAGACAGGCTCAGTCTTTTGTATCAGATCATAGAAATAAAGCTCCTTCTGCCAGCTCCCTGCTGTTCCATCCCCTCACCTCTCCTCACCGAGAGGACTCTCCTTGCTGGCTGCTCACACCCTTCTCCAGCCCCGTTTCCCACGTTCTCTACCCAAGCTATCAACACCCTCTTCCTGTGCTCTGGTCTCATCTCCTGTTTCCAGTCCTCCTCTTTTTATAACACATTATAACTTTATATTATAAAGTTTATTTCTTTTAAAATTATAATTTTATAACAAATAACTCAAGTTGCACCAGGGGAGGTTTAGGCTGGATATTAGAAAAAATTTCTTCACGGAA